CGGGCGGCGGCCCCGGCCCCGGCCCCGGCCCGGCCCTTACCGTTTCGTCCAGGAGGCACCCCCGCCTTCTGGGTTCTGTGCGGTTTTTCTCCGGGAGCCCTCGCTTCGCCAGGCGGAGTCCGGGCGTGGGGCTGCCGGCCCTCCAAGGGTCCCCAGGACCCGAGCGCAGCGCCGCAAGTCTGGCGAAATGAAGCGAAAAACTTGCGGCTTTTTGGACAGACCTCATGCTTTTGGTTTTTTATTCGTTGTTTTAGATGCTCACAGCTGGTAATAGTGCGTAAAAAAACATAAGAAACGAGAAAATAATGGAGTTACTCTAATTTCTGTGTCTCTTCACGAGTGACACAAGGTGGAAGGAGCTGCTCGGTTCTGCACGCATCGGTAACAGGGGTGGTAACAACGTTACAGGCACACAAGAGCATAAATTCCTATGGGCTTTAGAATCGCTGTTCAGAGTGGCAAAAAATAATTAGCTGAAAGCAGTGATTGCGATCCATTTACTGTACTTCTTATTGTAATTTATTTTGAAATGCCTGGGGCTGAGGTTTTTCACGCAATCTCCCAAATAGTTTATTTCATCACTGGTTTATGACTATCTAATATTTAATGCTCTAATCATGGACTGATAGTTTTATTCATTTTGGTCTTTGACTGGAGAAAGGAATTTTTAGGGTTTGCGTGATGTCAAGTGTAGGTAGAGGAACATAAGAATTGCGATAGCAGAACAGGCTAACTTTCCGCCATGTTTTTTATCTCCTTTTCGTGTTCCCATCTGTGCCATATGTATTCAAGCAAGAAAAGAAAGTGTATGCTTAAGTCTGAGTAAAAATTTGTGTGGGATGTTTTTGAGTGTCAGGACCAATGGAAAATGGCATTTTTTTCTCATATTTTAAGTTCCTATATTGTGAGTCGTTAGCTAAGGATGACTGCATTTTGGGAAGTGAAGCATAAATTTTGTGTGTGGCCTTTATGAAGACCAATGTTACCTATGTCTTGAATACACAGAGTATAGATGGGTGCTTTTTTTTTTTTTTTAATTCTGGTGTCATTACAGATGGGAAAAAAAAAAGGTATTACAGTGACTATCAACTCTATGAAAAAAGTGCTGTGGTCAGTTTCTGTACTCGCTCCATCATTAGCTGTGTAGTCTGTGCTGTCAAAACAGAAATACCAACTAGTTTCATACACACCAGTGAACAATTTTCAGATGGTCATTAAG